GTGAGAACAAAAGAGTCGACTACATTCCTTCTGCTGCACCTATAGTAACGCACACGGCTCCCGCACTGACTGTTCCTTACTTTCTCACTCTAATCAAAATTTCCTTCGATGAGTGAGAAAACAGCACCCCGTCAATGCGAGCGAGAACGCGAGTTGCCAGATCATTGCACACAAAACCAACTTGAATTAATTCAAAACAAAAATACTAGCGAACCTGGCGGTGAGGGGCGGAAGGTGGACTAAAATTTTATTACAGAGAACCACATTATTTTAATTAATTTCTTCGGAGAAACTCGTCTGTAACTTCGTTTGTGGTTCTATATTGTGTAATTATGTTATTCAAGCAGTAGTTAATGGAATTAATTTAATTACAGCCTTTGCCTGCGTTGGAGTTAAAGCAACCGGTGAACACTCGGGTTTATTTCAGTTACCGTGTGGACGTAATTTGTGATGAGCCCCGGTCCCTTTCAAATTGTATCATTATTTATTTACGGTCTATATATTTGAAATGACGTTTCACATTCATCTAGTGATGGCCGATTTTCATTCGAATTATCGATTAATCGATTAACGAACCGCAAAGTAAAATATTTGTAATCGGTTATATCATGCCGATATAAGCATTAACTTCTCCAGGGGATCATCACCGATCGTTTCAAACATGTGCTGCACTCTCATTGGTGGAAAAATGGCAGCACAGCGAACAAAAAAAAATCGATTAGTTGTTATTCGAGTAATTAAAAAATGGGACACCTCTGATTTTGGTGTGTTTGTTTTGATAAACAGGAGCGCAAAATTTCGTCTCTGTCGAGGGGGCAGCAAAACCACAACATTACCTTGAATACGGGGGGTATTCATTGGATGAAAGGGACCGTGAAAGAGGACACTAAAATAGAAAGTTTTTCTACCGACAGTTTCATCTTAGTATTCATCTTTGGTTAAAGGTTATTGCGTGCCCCCAGATTGACAGTTCACCAATTCGATTTGAAAATTTCTAACAAAAAGATCCAACGCACAAACCAAATTTAAATCGCTGAAACCCAGCGGAAATTTGCTGATTTTAGACTTGATGAAAGATCAGTAAACTTGCCAGCATAATAATGCTGCTGAATATTCCAGTAATTCCAACTTCTGTCAAAATGTCAACATTTTACTGATAATCAGCAAAATTTTTCAGCAATATTTCTTCACTGATTTTTCAGCAATAAAAAATTCTGACAGCTCACAGCATTTTGCTGAATAAACTCAGTAAATCGAATTTATTTCCACTTGGGGCTGGCAGCTTCCATTAAAGATTTTTGATACAAATAAACAAATAATAAAGACAAAATCGCCAGGGTCCATGCATAATTTATTAACATTTATTATAACCTATTATAACCAGTGCTCTTACCAACATAAATTTATATATTTGTAGTTATGTTTATCACCTCCTCCTCGGTGGTTTGTACGAATTGCACGAATGCAAATACTTGCGACTGTGACGCTAAAAGATTGACAGCTCTTTACTGGATGTCCAGCAAACCGTTTATGTTAGCTGAATTTTTCGGTAAAAATGTTGTTTGCTGTTTTTCAGCAAAGCTTTTTTGTTGCTGATCATGATCCAGCAAACCATTTTACTGGATAATGAAAACTAAAATTGGAAATGTTTAATTCTACCAGTTTTTCTTTAATATTATTATTTACCGATATTTTTGTGTGTGCATCCACATCAACGGAACAAAATTCTGAAATTTATTTATATTCCTCCTTATTTTTAGCACTTCATTGAAATAAAATGTATCATTCGAGTTTCGGAAAAAAAATTTGACAAATTTGGAACGAACCGTTTGGAGACTTTGTCTGAGTTGACAGGAAGTGCCATTTGTTTGGCCGTTGAGGTATACTTCCAAATTTTGTACTCCCTCTCGCTCTCGCTTACGAGAGGAGTTCTCACTGTTTTGACAGATCGTGCTGTCAAAATAACACCAATACTAAACAAACAGCACGCACACACTGCCATTCCCGTTTGTATCCACACGGGCAAAGCCAGAAGAGTTTTCGCAGGAATGCGAAAAAGGGGGGCCTCTTGTGGAGCATGAATCATTTCGCTCTCTCATTTCCTAATGTTGCCTCAAAGAAGTGTGTTGAAATTTTTACTTGTGCTTATAAAAAGGTGAAAATGGATTACTAGTTGCAAGCAGCTAACGCGCACCTCGGTGCCCCAGTACACAAAAGGAATATTTTAGTGAATTACGATGTGAGTAGATCCGGGTTGTTTTAAAGTTTTCTAGCAAGCTTTCCTGAAACTGCGTCTGGAACGTCGTCGCGGCGCCATGTTGTGATGAGGTGTTAACAAACTCAAAAAAATATGCTTTATAATACAAACGCTACACGGTATGCGACAACCTGGTCGGTGGGCGGGATCGAAAGTGCTTTTATCTCTTCGGTAATCCCTTTGTTTGGGATTAAAATAACACCAACGTGGTCGGAGGAAAGCACCGAAACAGATGACGATGTTTGTATGCGGAATGCTAGTGAAAAATTTATACGGAAAAATGACGTAATTTCTAGACTAACATTTGAAAAGGGCGTAATTCCAAAATGACCATATCGAGAAAATCGCTTCTGAATTTTGTTGACCTAAAAATTAATCCTATTTCACGACTTTCCATTTTCTGGTTGATTTTATAAGCTTGACATATAGTTAATAGTGTAATCTATCATCGTGCATCACTAAAAACTCAAAAAAAGTTTTCTTTGTCGTGATATTGAGAAGAAAACATCATACGCCCTGATAATTTCATACATGTTGTTACCCCCCAGATCTTCCACCCTTTGAACTGCCAACACTGGTGATACGCCGTGGAAGTACACCCTCGGGATTTTTTGTTTGTTGTTCCGCCTTGGTTCTTCGTTCGCAAATTTTGTGAGAGTGGAATTACGCCCGGAGATTTTTTGGTCTGCTTTTTGTTCGTTGTTTAAACGTGAACTATCAATCGGATGCATTTCAAATGAATCGGGCGTGACTAGATACTACAGAATCAAAACATTTGGCATATTAAAACCATATAATTCGTAGTTCTGGTGCAAGGCGTAACAACCAGATTTATCATAGATTTGAAAGTTGGAAATACGCCATGTAAGAAGAAACGTTTTTGATAATTTGAATGATATTTTCTTCTACTTTTTCGTATTTATCGAGTAGTTTGTGAACTATTCTCTCTATATGTGGCAAAATATGGTTTGTTTACATTTTGGCTCTTCCGCCCCTTTCAAATGTTAGTCTAGATTTGTTGCTTGCACCTGGCTAGACGGGGGGAAAATGTTGCACGTCAGCAAGATCTACGTCAGAGAGACGAGAGTGTTGCAGGCGTTGTAAACGTTTGTTGCATGGTGTGGTTGTGCGACACGTTGGCTACGTAAACATAAACAATATCTGTGGTCATAGGCAAAAGAGTGGCCTGTTGGCAAGATGGACCTTGATCAGTCTCAGCCATCATCAAGACACCACAAATGAAAAAAAAATTGACCTCCATCACGCAATGCTGCGCGTGTTATTATGCATTTTGAATGCGAAACAACGAACACACTATGGAGGAATTTAACCATATTGCGGGCTATGTAAAATGCTCAAAAATGATACCGTTACGTTGATACGGCTATCATTTCCTAACTGGAACTTAACGCCTGCCATCAACTTAGTTTTTTTTTCGGGAATCGAAATCACTGTCTCCACCACCAACGTTTCAATTTTCAATCGGTCGGCATAGCGCAAGTTACGTTGAACTATGTTTGTCACATGGTTTCTGTCGTCGCATTGATTTTCCACCAATCTCAGGTGTATGCCACTCAAGCTTTGTGCAATTCTACTTTGGTAGGAGGTATAGGGTATGGTCAGTCACTGGGCAAGATGGGCACATTTGTTATTTTATTTATTATATCAACAGGTTCAATACAACCCTAATTATGGTTTGTTTTTTTTTTCCTGTTGATGCTCACAATAAAAAAAATGTATAAACCAAGTAGGTGGCCCATCTTTCCCCACCTTCCCTATACATGACCTAAATTAGGACGTTGGACCCTCACCAGCTGCAGTAGCAGCAAGCATACATACAGGTATCCCCGCTACAACGTTTTAATGCTTACAGAACAGTGCTTGATTTATTAGCGTCAATCATGCTTTCAACATCACTTTCGAATTGCTATATTGGCCATCTATAACCGGTTGTGTTGATGAAGTTGACCACAAGCAAGAATGCAAAAATTGAACTTACCAACGAAAATGTTTGGTCTAGTGTCTGAAAAACAACATGGGAGTTGCCTTTGCGATTTGTCGGGGGTTCACGGAGGGGAACTCGAAAACTATTACAGCTAATCGTGCTGTGTTCGGTTCACATGAATTAGCGCATCTGTAAACAAAGGTGTTTTACGTTTCATTGTAGAGAACATATAAAACTAGAAACTGATAAGAAAATACAGATTGTATGGCTTTATGCAAGTTGGGCTGATTGGTTGCAAAATGCTCTTCATCATATTTGATTTAATTTTAATTTCTTTGGATAACTATTACCTCCAAATTTAATTGTTTCGCCCAATTTTAGGTTTAGTTTAATGAACATTATTATGCAGTTCCATGGGTCGTCACACCTTGGCTGATTATATTAAAATATTTTATTTTCATTTTCTTGACATGGACTGAGAAACAAAAATATCCTTAGTTACATTATTGTTCAGCAATAAAACTTCTATCGTTTACATGTATTAGTTTTTGAAAATACTTCAGTATTTTCTTTAATATTTTAAAATATATCTAAGCTATCTTGCCCCTTGTGCAGTTCCGTATTACTTATATTTCCACATTATATCGTTCCACAGAGCCGAAATGGCATCCTACCCAAGCAAAATGGCGTCCCAAGCGACAAAAACCAGTCTCCGACAACAACAACAACAATCATCATCTATATCTATATCATCTATATCAACATCTCAACAACTTGTACCACCTTCGTTCGTTGAGTCTGAACATCTAACAACATCCGATGGAGTCCTTTCAATTTCTGGACATGGACTGGGAGGGCAAGATGGAGCCTACGTCTCCCTCCTCCCAGCACTCCTCCTATGCTGAGGAGTACAATCTCGAAGACTACGATTTCTGCAATGGTACGTCGAGGAACCCAAGCCAAAATGCTATCAATCACGTCTAATTTGATCCCTGTTTTCTGTTTCCTATTTTAGAAGGCCTTTTCAATAATGCTCTCTTCGATATCGTCGTTGAAACCAAACCGGTCATAAAATCGGACCTCTTGAAAGACACTCCCATAGTTATCGCATTACCTCCGGTGGCAAAAGTCGAGAAAGGTAAGTCGATCAATTTTTTTTATTTAAACCGTATAGAAACCAACAGTTTATACTGAGCTCACGTTCCTGGCTAATCAACACTATTTACGGAAAACTCATTCTTTGAAGCGTTAAACGTTACTGTCTGTGACGCGTCTGGCAACACCTGTAATACAATTATCACTTCTGAAACGTGTTTATTCAAATAAGCATGATTCGTTGAAAAAAAAACATGTTTTGAACACTGATCTCGGCCAAACCAATACTAATGAATGAAAGCTGCCAATCAGTTAAGGCCGGCGCACAATAGATACGTTTTTAGTTTTTTGACAGCTAGCCCATGCATTATCTGTCAAAAAACCCGAAAACATATGCATTGTGCGCCGGCCTTTACTGATCATCATAAGCATGACTAAGCACACTCCAACACTGCGATTTGCGATCACGCCTGTCTGCTGCCAATAATGATTTTTTTTCCTTAAGCCTGGTACGCAGCTGAAAAGAAAACGGAAAAGTAATTTTTGAGGATTTTTCCCAAAAGAAAATTTGACAGCTATAGTCTGCTAAATTTTGAGATATAGGGAGATGTGGTCAAATTGTAAAATCAACACTTATTAGTGTTTATGTTGTTTAAATGCATCCAAAACATCAGTTTTGCAATAAACGCCAACATTACCTAACGGAATAATTGATCAGACCATTATAGCCTGGTACGCAGCTGAAAAGTAATGACGTTTTTACGTGCTACGGGATAGGACACGGAATGCTAAAGAAATTTCTTTTCCTTAGCATTTCTTGACCCAGTACGCAGTTCAAAAGAAATCGGTAAAGGAAAGATCGATTACATTAGTATCGTGATCGACATGAAGGTGGCGCATTCTGAATGCAATTTCACTTTCCTTGCGGAATAATGGTCTGACCAATTATTCCGTTAGGTAATTTTAACGTTTGTTGTAAAAATGATGTTTTGGATGCATTTTAACAACATAAAAATTGATAATTGCTGATTTTAAAATTAGACGACACCTACCTATGATCTCAAAATTTAGCAGACTATAGCTGTCAAATTTTCTTTTGGGAAAAATCCTCAAAAATTACTTTTCCGTTTTCTTTTCAGCTGCGTACTAAGCTTATTCCGCAAGGAAAGTGAAATTGCATTCAGAATGCGCCACCTTCATGTCGATTACGATACTAATGTAATCGATCTTTCCTTTACCGATTTCTTTTGAACTGCGTACTGGGTCAAGAAATGCTAATTAAAAGAAATTTCTTTAGCATTCCGTGTCCTATCCCGTAGCACGTTAAAACGTCATTACTTTTCAGCTGCGTACCAGGCTTTAATCGGATATCATCAAGGCGTTGAATGAAGCAACAGTACAGTAGGGGAACTAGGGGCAAGAAGGTCACCCGGGGCAAGAGTGCCACCCTCAATATATTTTGAAAATGAAATCATTTCAATTTTATCTCACGATGAACCTATGCACGGTATTCCTATGAAGCATTCTAAAAAGTTCTGTCCGAATCGAGGTCGTAAAAAAAAAAAAAATGCAAAAAATAATTTTATGTTGATGCATTGAAAAGCTAGTTTTTTATAAGAATAAGGCATCATAAAATAAGGTTTTCGGTATTTCCAATTTATTTTTTTCACAATTTCTGCATTGAGACATCACTATTGATGGTTGTTTGATACATTAATAACAATAAATTGTTAAATATTTTGTTTAATTAATCAAAAATTATATTCCTAAAAATAAACTTTATACGGGGCAAGAGTGCCACCCCTACATTTATGTATTAAATTGTACAAAAATGTTCAGAAATTAACACAATTCTCGCGTAACATTTGAATAGGGCCTATGATCAAAATGTAAACAAACCGATTTTTGATACCATTCTGTAGTAGCACTGGTAATTAGCTACCAGTCGTATAGGAATGTTCCGCATTATCGATAAAAATCATTAAAAATAGCTTGATTTTAAAAACGGCCGATCCACGAAATGTTTCCAGTCATTCATGCTAAAACGGCCTAACCTCGGGCCTAACATATATTTTTTTCGTTCGATGAGGTTCCATTCATAAGCCTAGCGACGTAGAAGGGCCGATGATTGAAAAAATTCAAATCAAAGCTAGGCCCTACTGCTTGAGGCAGGGCCGATGATTTATTTGACGTTAAGAAAAGGCTTAGCAAAGGGCCTACAATTTATGATGAGAAGCACAACGGCTTAACAAAAAGGGCCTAACCATTTAAAGATTCACAAAAAGGCTTATTACTGTGATATTAATTTTTTATAGATTTTCATGTATTTTTGAAAACGTTTCGCATGTTTTGGATGTTGTGTACTGAGATATAGTTACTATTGTTATTGTGAACAATATTAATGCCTAAAATACTTCAATTTATTTATTTAGGAATTAAATACTGGCGGAAAAATTTACAATTCATTTTCTGGATTGTTTACATTTTGGACATAGGCCCTTTTCAAATGTTACGCGAGAATTGGGCATTTATGTTTCCAATATACATTGTTTTCGTGAAATTTTGGAAAACAAACTGTATAAAATAGTATCAAAAATAGTTTCCATTTCTTTGACGCACATGGTTTATATGTTTTAGATATAAAAAAATATATCGTTAAGTCAATATTTTAGTGGAATAAACAATAAAAGCAGTTGCTGTCAATTGGCAAATCAAAGTTGGCGCTCGTGGAGAATAGAAGAACTATAAAAGTGATGATGGTTTCAAAATTTTCCACGGGGAAGTATACGAGTGCAATCTTAAAATGCTTTTATTTTGCAAATGGAACATTTTATTTAAATCTGGTTGCTGCTACAGTGGTAGAAAAGCTCAAATCTATGTGTACACCTAAAAATCTGAAAAGAAATGAATTTTTCTATATTATTTGTTTATTGAGTAGTCCTTAAGTTTTCTACTAACATAGCACCAACCAGATTTAAATAAAATGCTCCATTTGCAAAATAAAAGCATTTTAAGATTGCACTCGTATACTTCCCCGTGGAAAATTTTGAAACCATCATCACTTTTATAGTTCTTCTATTCTCCACGAGTACCAACTTTGATTTGCCAATAGTAATTTGTTGTTTAGAAATGAACATTTATCAGTTTCACTTCATTTTAGACATATGGTCTTTTTGCCCCATAAGAGTGGCCCTCTTGGCCCGTAGCATTTTTTAGAGCAGGTTCGACATGACATTTTGAAAAAATCATTAACATTTTTTGATGGGGTTTAATTTTAATTTCAATGATGATACATGGAGACAAGGTTATAAACTTACAATTCGATTCACAAACTCCTATAAATATTCACGGAATCACATATAAAAACGCGCTATCGTTAGGGTGACCTTCTTGCCCCTAGTTCCCCTACGTATATTATACACTAATAAAATACGACACATTTTTATTAACGAATTTCCATGTGAAATTCCACATGATTTTCATGTGACCACACATAAACAGAATCCACCCAGAAGCACACATGAAATGTATGAGTCAAATGAATAGTATGCGTGGTTACACATGACTTTTATGTGTACACATATTAAGTATGTGTCCGACACATAGATATCATTTGTTGATCACATTGCAAAAAATCATGTGTGGGACACATAAAAACAATCTTTGAAATTTTATCAGTGTACGGTTTTATGGAAAATTATGTCCAAAGTCAAATTCAGAGGTTTTCGAGGCTCGATGTCAATCATACAAGGTCTGGAACAACAGGCAGCTTGCTGGTGTTAGAAGCAAAAATGTTGTGAACATTGCTGAGCAAGCGAATGTCGATGTCACGGCAGCACAACATTCCATACTGCGAATGACAGACGTGTCGTCACAGGAAACGGCTGTTTCGTGTAAAAAGATAAACATTGCGATGAAATACGAACACCACTAAACATTTACACATTTCACTAATACCAATAAGCCGGTTGGGCCAGACCTTGTATAATTGACATCGTTCGAGGGTAGGCTTAAGAACTTCCAAGGTAAACGAAGGAATTCCAACAGTAGTTAGAAGGTTCCAGAGTACACTTTGTGAATGGAAACTATTGACAATAATATATTGACCTCTCAACATAAGAATATCAGTGTTTTAAAGTCTTTCAGAAAAAGCCTAAATCTTAACAAAAAAAACGTTAGCTGTTACGTTCGAGGCACGAATGAGATTGACGTAGAGCAGCTTTGAATTTATTATTGTTCCTTCATTCAAGCATCATTTCAAAACAATGATACATAGGGTAAATGATGGCTTCGGCACCGAACTGTTTTCGGTAACCAAAATTTAAACGATAATTTCGCTGTAATTTCTCGCCTGAACACTTCGCTAAATGTATTTAAACAATTCTTTAGTCTTTCAGCTTCAATATGTTTACATTTTTACGACTGAGCAAAGGTTTTCCCTAGGGTGGGAAACGGATTCGAAACTCAAATGTCATTAGTCAAAAATTTTGCACTGCTCTTGAACCTTAAGTTCTTCCATAACACTTGAACTGCACAGGTGTCTTGTATTGAACTGTGACGGTTGATTCTTCGTTATCAAACTTTGACTATAGAGTAGTGCATAGAATGCAAGCTAACTAAAATTCAGTTATTTGTTTCTATGTATTTTGTTTTAAGCGATCTACAGCGAATTGCTTTAAGACATGGCGCACAGTGGGACGAAATCAAAAATAGTGGGACATGGCTATTTGCGACGAAACTATTGAGTGTAGCATTTTGATGAGTCTTCATTTTTTGAGAACTTTAATTGAGAAGTGAACATTTTTGATTAAGGGAGGTATACACTAAGATAAAAAAAAATAACTTTGTTATGTCTTGTTGAAATTGATGAATATCTATGAATACATTGTAGATGAAGTCATTTTAAGAAACTTTGTCCAAGACGTGCATTTTCTATCTCTCAAGTGGACGAAGTTATAGGGTGAAAATGGAGTACTAACGCTAGTACCCCCTTAGAAACCGCTTTTCTACCATAACTGTTTGGTTTGAATAATTTTTAATTTT